ACTATCCGTTGAATCTTTCCAGACTTACTCCCCCCAGCCTCCCTCTCTCTCTCTGTCTCTGTCTGTCTGTCCGTCCATCTGTCTGTCTGTCTCTCTCTCTCTCTCTCTCACACACCTTCTAACCTTGAAAAAAATCATCCAATATAAAAATTATCTAGGCTGTCTAAATAAAGCCTTCTCATTAACATGCACAGACACTCAAATACCCCCTTGGTATTCTCCTGGAACCCAGGGCCTCCTACAGAGAACAGAGTCCCTTGACCCATGTTCCAGTGAGTTATGAAAAAGGCCTAGTCCATCCTCCATATACTTGAATCATTGTCTATAGATTACTTATTGAAGCTTAATCAAACTGGAAATAGTCAATACACTACAGTGTTTAGAGACTGGAAACAAGAGAGTTGGTTGGGACAGATCATTTCTAAGCATTTGCAGTCTAAGGTGAGTTGAATCTGCAGATGCACAATCCACAGACTGAGGGTTGGCCATGTTCCATTGGGATCAAAGGTTCTATCCATCCAATTAATAACTAGGAAGGCTCTAGAAAGAACCCAGAGCAGAAGCCGAGCCTCTGATCTCCCAGGGAAAGTGGGGGAGGGGTATGCACAGCTCCTGCCCAGCAGCTGCTTGCTTTCTTTTCTGTGATTGACTTCCCTGTGGTTCTCTCTCTTGTTCTGATTGGCCATATGCAAATAAGTAAGCCTACTATGTTGTTCCTGGATAGCTTGTCTAGTACCCAAGCTATCTCTTGTCCTCTAAGAGCTGGGCTGTCTTCAGAGAGTATACTTGTAGAGTCCAACCTGCTACTTCATAATGTGCAGGCTGAGAAGATACAGCGGTTCTCGTGTGGCATCAGGGAACCCTCTCACGCGGATGAACAGGACTTCAACAGTGTGTCCACACAGCCTGTACAGCCCAGAGTGATTGTGTTACACTTCCACGCCACCTCCCTACAGCCCCATACCCTGTCCCTTCCCGATTTTGTTGGGATTATCTGCCCATCCACTCGTCCTTCTCCTCAATACTGAGCCATCCTGTCTGGGTCATTTTCTCTGCACCTGTGGTACTGTGGCCGCCATTGACCAGGATGGTACTGAGTAAATATGAATTAAGCCAAGTTGCCAGCCAGAAGTGTAATTATACACAAGGGCGGGGCTAAAGACTGATTGTTTTTTAAAGCAAATACACCAGAATGCAGGCATCCAAAATCAACATGCCAGCTCTCACTAGTCAGCAGAAAAGGGGTGCATGGGGGGACCTTTGGGGGAAAGTCTTTTCAATGTTCAGGACTTTGAACAGTCTAGGGGTCGCACTTTCCTGGAATAGGGGGAGGAATTACAGAAGAATGTTTTCAACCTCAAGGAACTGCACAAGCCGGTAAACAGAGGCTGTTACCATCGAAGGAGAAGACACCTGGAGGTAAATTGTTTTGCAGTTACATCAGGGATGCAGGAGTCTTCCTCTTCTTAGCTTTTTTAGTGCTTTGGTTTTTTGTTTTGCTCTGTTTTGTTTTTAAATCATTTAGGTTATTACCTCATGGACACAGACAGATGCCAACATTCTAGATATCACACTCTCATACTATCAGTTTAGAAAGAAGCCAGACAAGCCAGGGGAACAAGGTTACCAAACACTTCCCAGCAGGGACTGATCAGAGTCTGGCCACACAGCTGCCCAGCTAAGAAAGTGGGGATCTGGCTTACTCTGACTGTACAAGACAGGAAAGGAGAAAAGGGCTGCTAAGGAAATAACGACGTTTCTCAGAGTTATTGTTTTTTCTATAAATCAAAATTCAGTTTGAGGCTGAGCAGGGTATCAGATGGTGAACCCCATAAATAATGATAGTATACTGGGTACCAACTATTTACAAGCTTTCTTTCTAGTAAATCTCCAATGTGCACTGTTATCATTAATCCCGACAGCACTGGGCAGCCACACTGGTGAGCCTCATTTTCCCCCGCTCTGAGGAAACTGAGATCCAGAGATGTTAAGTTTTACTCACTCCAAATGAAGCCCTTTGTGAGTTTAAAGGAAGCTCCTTAACCCCAGACAGAGGCTAAGGAGAATTGAGGGAGGGCTCCCAGTCCTGGCTCATATCCCAGGCAGAGGTGAGCTGCTTTCCAGTTTCCTATGCCCCAAGCCACTGGAGTGTTAGAACAGCTCGTAGGAACCGCTGTTACACTCCAGGGCCCACACCATGGCTCAGGATGGCTTAGCCACAGGTAAAGGCTACCAAGTCAGCTGAGTTTCAACCCCAGGACCTCACTGTATAAGGAGAGAACTGATTCCAGCAAGTTCTCTGACCTGGACATGTAGGCAGTGGGACACTCAAGTACATGCACACAAATAGATACAATAATTTTCACAATTAGAGAAATGCTATGCCCCCAGGGGACTTTGTCTACCCCACACCTTTTCTCTGCTGTAGTGTTGCTGGAGCTATTAAGAGTGGGAGCCTGGACTCTGACAACGGTAGCAGCTAGGCTGGGCCTCCTGTATTCAACACACCAGTGAAATAGACTAGAACTGGTAAAAGCATAAAAACAAGGTTTAGCTGGGCAGTGGTATCGAACGCCTTTAATCCCAATGCTTGGGAGACAGAGGCAAGAGATCTCTGTGAGTTTTAGGGCAGCCTGGTCTACAAAGCAAGCGCCAGGACAGGCTCCAAAGCTACATAGAGAAACGTTTTTCTCAGAAAACCAAAATAAAATAAACGAGGTTTATTCAGTGTAACCACATTAGGAAGAACAAAGAAAGAGGTTCAAGGACCCACCCAAGTCTGTCTCCCTGACACTGAGATTTAGGTATAAGTAGAGGACAAGATGCATGTTTCTCTGAGCAGTCCTGTTCACCATACGGTCCTACCATCACTGACCATCATTGTCTTAGCTCCACACTATGTGTGACAACTGTCAGAACCCTGTGAAATTCCTTCTTGAGAGATAAGCTCCCCTGGGGCTGGCACTAGGTTTCCACACCTGCTTCCCCTCTCCCCAGTGTGAAATTCCTGGGGAATTCCCAGCTCCTTGGGACCCATTGCTTCAATTGTCCTGCAGCAAAAGGGAGGGGGCACAAGTGTCTCTTCAGATAAACTTGGCTCCTGGGAGGACAAATACAATAGTAACTAGTTGGCCTCCTTGTCACAGTTCATTTGAACACTACTAGGCGGCCACTATTGCCAACCCCTTGTCCCAAGCCTCCTTGAGGACTCTGAGGTTCTAAAAGGTCTTCACAAAATAAATGCAGGACTTTTTCCTCTACACCACTTTTCTTCTTGTTTTGTTTGTGTTGTTCTGTGGGTTGCTGTTGTTTATGAGAAGCCAGGCCCCGCTGTGTAACCCTGGCTGGCCTGAAACTCCCTACATAGACTCACAGGGAGAGACCCACCTGCCTCTGCCTCCCAAAGCACTGGGGTTAAAGTGTGTGACACCGGGCTGGGTCTTTTCTCTATGCCAATGGAAGTCTTGATTTTCAACTGTGTGAATGCCCACTCAGAGTGAAGACTTACTTCCCAGGCCCTCCCGGAAGCTGAGTAGCCCTGTCACTAGATAAACAATTGGGGAGGCAGGTAAAATCCCAGGGCTGTGGCTTTGAGACAAGAACATGCCATCAACCCAGACCAGGGTTCTGGTGCTATAACTTTATGGTCTTTATTTCTCATCATAACAGACTGCTTAAAGGCCAGATGTGGTGGCACAAATGTATAATCTGAGCTGGGGAGTTAGAGCTGTTCACCAGCCAGCCTACCCTTATGAGACAAGCCCCAGACAAATGAGAGACCCTGACTCATAAAGCCAACACTCAGAGTGCCTGAGAAAAGACAGCCAAGTCTGCCCTCTGGCCTCCACACGCATGTAATGCAATATACCAGCACATGCATGAACAAGAACACACTTATACAAATAATAAATGAGTAGACACTCCCTCATAGGTAAAAAAAAAAATAGAAGCTCATTTCAACCACTGTACCTGTGGTTCTGGTCAACCCTGTGGACCTTTATTCTAGAATATTCCTCAGGTAAACTTGGGAGTAGCTACCCAAAGCTTTCGACTTCCTATTTCACCCATAAATACTGATTTCTCTATTTAAATTTATGCTCTGTGACCTTGACCTGGCAGACACATGAGTGGACAGCCAAGTCTGCAGATGAGTCAGCATCGCAGTCAATCGTTTGGATCAGCTTGTAGCTGACCTCAGATACATGAGGCCAGAGGCCACAGGCTCCAGCTCACCCAGATAGCAGAAACAAGCAACAGTCTTGTACACAAAACGGATTGCTGTGGATTTTAGCCACCGTGTCTTAAAACCCTTTTGTTACAGGGCTCACTAACACCTCAGGCAGCCCTGCTTTGTACATGATGGTGGGAACAGTGAGGAGAGGGGGTGTGGCAGGGGACAAACTCTCGAAGGGATGAAGAAGTGAGACAGCCCACCTACTGCGCTTACCAAGGAAGCTTCATCTTGCCTCTTCCCCTCAGCCCTTAATCTAGAGGTCAATCAGCTGATCACCACGATGGGAAAGGACCAACCTGGGCCCCGACATGGGATAAAGACTCTCATTCCAGTCTCCAAAAGTATTAACACACCGACCTCAAACCTGAGACCGGCCTGGTTTACCAGGAAGTGACTGTTGCGGAGCCCAGAATGAGAACACGGCGAAAGAATGTTCAGGGAGGAAAACATGCAGGAAGGCTCTTGAGTCATTCAGAAGGAACGAAGCCTGTCTGTCCGGAGTGACTAGACCTTGGTTGAGGACACTGCTCTACTTTTCTGTTTAGTGATTAGAACTTTGTATGTGCCGCAATCCTCTCTCAAACCAAGCCCAACCCCTCTCGCAAAGCTCCTGCTTTCCCTGCCCAGCCATCCCAACAAGCTCAAGAGAACTTTGGATGGTCAGGAAAGAGGAAGATTATATCCTACTAGCCTCTTGGTTGTTCACACACCCCATGTCAGTACCCCCAAGGTGCATGTCCTGGAGTCAGCAGGGCAGAGACAAGCCTTGTCTTAGTTAGGTCCCTTTTTTTTTATTCATTCTTTGACAAGCTTCTAGCAAGCTGACCTACTGGTAGACATCAGAAATAAAATGATGGAGAGATACAGGATGTAACTTCCAGAAGAACAGACCCCCAAGGGACCTGGGTTTGGGACTTAGACTGCTGGTTTTTGAGTTTTCATGAGTTAAGAGTCCGACACAAAGCTGAGCTTGGGAATGTTGGTAAACAGGATCTATAGCAGAAAGATGACACCTATTAACTGCCATTAATAACAGCGTCAAAATACTTTTTATTTATTATCACCTTTCGGTGTTATAATTTGTGTAGCAAAATTTGCCATTTTAGCCATTTTGTAAGTGCACAGTTCAGGGACAGTGTTCATTTATATCTTTGGACCATCATCACCTTCCAGCTCTCTCCCTGGTCCCTGGGAACTGCCATCCTACTCCTGTCTCTGTGGATCTGACTGTCCTACATGTCTGAGGTAAGTAACCAGTTAACTTCAACAAACAACTTCAAGTTTCACCACATTACAGCATTTTTCAGAATGTCCTTCTTTTTAACAACGACATTTGTATAGACCATGCCTTGTTTATCCATCCATCCATCCATCCTTCCATCCTTCCATCCTTCCATCCACCAGTGAGTATTTAGGTTATTTCTAAGCTTTGACTACTATGAACAGTGCTGCTATGCCTATGCATGTGAATATCTCTTCTGGATGCTGCTGTCATTTCTGAGATACATCTGTACCTAAAAGTTAAAGTTGTGCATCATGTGGTAATTCTGTTTTTGTTTTGTTTTGTTTTGTTTTCTGAGACCCACAATCCTATTTTCTACAGTGGCTACACTATTTTCCAAGCCCACCAGCAGTGCCCAGAGGGTCTGATTCCTCTCTGTGTTCATTGACACCTTTCATTCTCTGATTTGTGTTATTGCTGTTGTAATGGTAACTATCCCAGTGGGTTTGGAACGGTACGTCCGTGTAGCTTTACTTTTCATTTTGCACATGATCGGTTATGTCTAGCTTGTTGTCCTACCTTATTGGCTACTTGCAGATGTGGCCATTTCTCTGAGGAGAAATGTCTATCCGGGTTTCTTGGTTTGGCCTGTTGTGAGCACATACTGCTTCCATATTTCCTGTCAGGCTCCCCACAACCCCACAGGGACATTAGTCATTTAAATTTACTGAACGCAAAGGAGGAACACTATTCCAATTTGTCAGATGAGGAAGTTGGGCCTTTTTAATGATTTGCCCCAGTGTGCACCCAGGTGGAGCAGAGAAGGATCTGAGCAGGCTTGGCTGGTCCCATTAAGTGGCCCAGCCGTTCAGACAGCAGGTTGTCTGGGAAGAGAGCCAGGGGAGAAAGGGAGTGAGGAGAGCGCCTGGGCAGCTCTTTGTGTCTCCAAAGCACTACTCCCTTTGGTGACCCCTCCCCCTCCCCTTTCCCTCCCCTTTCCCTCCCCCTCCCCCTCCCCTTTCCCCTCCCCCTCCCCTTTCCCCTCCGCCTCCCCTTCCCCCTCCCCTCCCCTTCCCCACCCCCTCCCCATCCCCCTCCCCTTTCCCCATCCCCTCCCCTTCCCCATCCCCTCCCCTTCCCATCCCCTTCCCTTACCCCCTCCCCTTCCCCACCCCCTCCCCTTCCCCATCCCCTCCCCTTCCCATCCTCTCCCCTTCCCCACCCCCTCCCCTTCCCTACCTCCTCCCCTTCCCCACCTCCTCCCCATCCCCCTCCCTTTCCCCACACCCCCTCCTCTTTCCCCACCCCCTCCCTTCCCCCATCCCCCTTCTCTTTCCCAATCCCCCTCCTCTTTCCCCATCCCCCTCCCTTTCCCCCATCCCCCTCCTCTTTCCCCACCCCCTCCTCTTTCCCCACCCCCTCCCTGTCCCCTACTCCCCCTTCCCCTTCCCCCATCCCCCTCCCCTTCCCCCATCCCCCTCCCCTTTCCCCACCCCCTCCCGGTCCCCCACTCCCCCTTCCCCCACACCTTCCCCTTCCCCCACCCCCTCCCCTTCCCTCATCCCCCTCCCCTTCCCCCATCCCCTTCCCTTCCCTCATCCCCCTCCCCTTCCCTCATCCCCCTCCCCTTCCCCCATCCCCTTCCCTTCCCCATCCCCTCCTCCCCTTTCCCCATCCCCTCCTTCCCTTTCCCCATCCCCTCCTCCCCTTTCCCTATCTCCTCCTCTCCTTTCCCTCCTCTCTGGGTCTGGGCAAGGTACAGCTGCTGCCTGCCTTCCAGGGTATGTGAGAACCACTCCTTCCTTTCCTGGAGGGTTTTCTTTCCAAAGGCTGGACTGGAAAAGAAAATCCCCAAAGAAACCTCTCTAGAAGGCCACTTCCTGGGCTTGCAGAGGGAGACTATTTACTGAATCTAACCTGAGGGGAGCTAACATGAGACGTGAGGGACAAGCAGGGCCCCCCCACACACAGGGACATAGGAACTGGCTCTGTTGTTCTATCAGAAAGTGTTACCCACATATTCACCAATCTCTTTACAGCGCCTTGTTGACATAGCTGCCCGCTATGTGACAGGTGACGTTTCTAATTTTATTTACTCATCTAAGTCTCCTAAGCACCACGAATCACACTGTGCATAAGAAAACTAAGCCTTGGAAGGACATAATTCATTCAACCTTGCACAGTGGTAAGTGACCCTTTAGCACTCAGCCCAAACCCTCTTGGGCTAATTCTACACCTGCACTTAATTACCAATCTACCCTGCTTCTGATGGTCTCCAGGATTTAGAGATTGATAATTTGATAGATCGAGAAAGAGGAGGGGGGAGGAGAGAGGGGGGGTGTTTAATGGCCCCTATAGATTTACATTTGAATGCTTGGTCATTGGGAATTACATTACTTCAGGGATTAGCAGGTGTGGCAGAAGTATGTCACTGGTTCCAGAAGGCCAGGTCAGACCCTGTGGTCGTTCTCTCTCTTCCTGCTGCTTGTGGATCCAGATGTAGAACTCTCAAGCTACTTCTCTAGCATGATGTTTGCCTACATGCCACCATGCTTCCCGCCATGACAACAACGGACTTTCTGAACTGTAAGTCAACCCCAATTAAATGTTTTCCTTTATCAGAGTTGCTGTGGTCATGGTGTCTCTTCACAGCATTAGAATATTAACTAAAACAGACAGGCAGGTAGATATAGATAGATGATAGAGATAGATAGGTGATTGGCAGCTGGATGGTGGGTCGATAGGTGATAATTAGACACAGGATAGACATATAGATGGCATGAGTAGATATGATAGACAGATAATAGATATGTAATACATGAAGAGAGGAAAGATAAAGATGATAGAGAGATAGATAGATAGATAGGATTGAAATGTAGATAAACAGATAGACAATGATAGACACAGATAAAATGGACTGGAAGGGTTTTCTCATTTCTGACTTTTCATTTTCTTGCTGTCCTCATGGTCCCCTCTGACTCCTCACTCACTCCTTTCCTTTCTCCCAGGAGGAAAAGTCCTGTCACATGACATTCCCTGCCCCAATCCAGTGTCTTGCCCCAGAGGCTGACCCATGTGGGCTGTCCCTCCCATCTTGAGCTCCACTGACCTCTGGTTTCCAGCTGGGTGTAACGATGGGCAGCTCTAGCAAGGAGCAGAGGGTGGTCGGTGCCCTCTTGCCAGCGTTCCATGGTTCCTTTCGTAGCGTTCCTTACAGCCACATCCTCTCCAAAAGAAACCCTCTGTTTCCCAGCATCCCCACAGGATGCTGAGCTCCTTGTTGTTAGTGTGGGGCCATTTCTCATTTGGTCCTTAACCTTCACGATAGCGGTCATCACTCCTCTTCAATTGGACCCACCCTGCCCATGCTCTCAAGAGGCTCAAACACAGGAAAGAGAGGTGTTTTTGTCAAACCTATCACACAGACACTAAAGGCACGTGCCCAGCAGTTACAGCAGTTAGTTCTGAGCAAGGTTGCAGGATCTTGGTTTTAATCTCTTTGGGAATTTCTCTATTTTCTATGATAGTCATGAACTTGGGTTTGTTCTAATGTACTTGTTTCGATGCATGTTGATTCCTTGGTGAGACGGTGTTTGAGGACACAGTAGGGATCAGTGAGTACTACTTCTCCCCTCCCCCACCTCAGGGGCAGAGCCCCACCCCACCCTCTTTGCAAAGACCCTCCCCAACTCTCTGAAAAAGACCCTCTGCCTGGGCCCTTGCTCCCCAGGGCCTGAGCTCTAGAGGCATGAGACAGTCCAGTCCCTCTTCTATAAGAGAAGTGAGAGGAACGCTGGAGGCTATCTGATCTACCCAGGCTGCCTGGGCCAAGTTAGAAGTCAGGCCAAGGTCATCTGGCAAGAGGGGCAGATGTCCCTCCAGGCAGCAGCAGCCCTACAGAACACCAGCTGCCCACAGAGTTCAGCTGTGGTGTGCCCAGGATTTTTTTCCAGAAGATTTTAGAGGGGGACCCCAAAGTAGGGTTTTCATGGAGGGATACCCTCTCTGGGTTGGGGCAGTTTGTAGACTGTGACCATCCTGACAAGAATGAAGAGATCTAGGGAGATGCTTGTGTCTTTCCCTTTGGTCATCAGACTACTGAAGCAATGGCTCCCAAGGAATGGAAATTTCCTGGGATTCTCATGACAGGTAAAGGAACAGACCAGAAGACTGGTGCCAACCAGAGGTGGATCTCATCCCCAGAAAAGAGATTTTGCGGTTCTGACATCTGTCAGGACACTGTACAGGAGAGACTGGAGTCTGGACACCAGTGACAGGAGAGGCCCTGCCTTGGCCAGTTCAGAGAGCTGTGCCTACCTCTTGCCCTGTTTAAATATAAATCTCTTTCAGGACACTAAAGATGGACTGGGCAGGGTCCACAGGACCTTTCTGTTCCCCTTCCTGATGTGGCCACATTGGATAAATTCTCTTTTCCTGGTTTTTGTTTTTAACTGCATCTTTAATTGGACTGTGGAGGTGGGTGGCAGAACCTGGCTTCTTAGGGACTGTCAGGGCCCAGGGTCTCACCCTAACTCTGGTAGTAGGACTGACTTCAACTTGCCGTTGCACTTCTGCGTAGGGTTATCCAGGCCACTGCCCATTGTGCCGGCTGGGAATCAATCAGACCATCTACCACATCAGAGGGAGGACCCTGTTCCCGAGGTGTGATATTGGGTTCAACCTTTCCACCCCATCTCCAGCTCTGATAAAAACTATTCAATAACTGCAGTTGACAGCCTCTAAACAGTGCAGCCCAAGGGGCTGAGATGTTAGAAAGCCTCTGCTCTCTTTAAAGTTGAACTATGTGATGTTTGTGAGCTCCTAGACCTCTCTGGGCCTTGAACCATAATTAGCAATAGAGAAGGTTGGTGTGAGGAGCCGCCCTCACTATCGCTATCGCCATTAGAAGATGGTGCTGACATCTGTTGTCAGTTGGAGTTTACCGTTTAAGCTGTGTCTTACCCGTCATCTGGGGTGATGAGCAAACCACCAATCCCGGCTCTACACGTCTCACTCGGAGCTCCTAGGCTTATATAAGGGGCTGGGTTTCTTAGCTTGGGGTCTCCCTCTCAAAAGCTAATCATCTATCTCTCAAGATGTATTAAAGCTTTACTACAGAAGGATCCGAGTGTCCTACGTCGTTCTTGCTGGCGAGACGGTAGCGCGGGACATCTGGTGCCGAAACCCGGGAACTCTTCAACATCGCCGGCGCCGCGGGAGACCCCTCGGAAGACGGGGCGGATTCAGAACTGCAGGGACGTAAGTTCAGAGAGGTATGCTTTATCCTGAACACCCCTTTTCTCGACTTTGGCCTTAGTTTGTCATCACCGTGGGACGGGTCAGTGGAGGCTTTGGTGCTAGTCCTGTTTGTCCTTCTTCATCGTGGCTGGTACTGACAGAACGGTGCTGTCAGTCTGGTAAGTCGAGCGCCGTTTTTTAGATAAGCCGCTAGCGCGATGGGGTTGTCACAGTCAGTGGTTACTGCCCTACAGACTGTGCTAAAACAAAGAGATCTCAAAATTGCACCACGAACACTTCAAAATTTTGTGAAGGAGGTAGATAGAGTGGCACCATGGTATGCTTGTTCCGGGTCCCTCACTGTGGCCTCATGGAACAAGCTAGGTAAAGACCTAGACAGGAAGCATGCAGAAGGAGATATCCGCTTAGGTACCAAAGCCATTTGGAAGCTAGTTAAAAACTGCTTGGAGGATGAGGCCTGTCACCCTGCTATAGTAGAAAGTCAGGGAACCTTAGAGGAAGTTCAGGATAACATGTCAGAAACTAAACGGAGTAAAAAAATGGGAACTCGCAAAAGGAAAGACATGTCTAAGAAAAAAGGCCCTCCCCAAGAAGTTAAAAAAGGGGGAGAGAAAGAAGGGAGTGATCATTCACCCCCTAACAAATCTAAGAAAAAAAAAAAGCCAAAATCTAGGCTATACCCTACGGTAGAGCTAAAAGCCTTAGAGC